AATCGTCTAGTCGGTGAATTTTCCGGATATCCCTGTTATTGACCTAAATACAGTGAAATTCCATAATTTGCTATTTTGATTTCTGGGCCTGTTTTTGCAACTGTAGATGATTTATAAGGGTACCAAACCAGGTCTAAAAATGTCAGCCACAAAATTCCAATTTCATCTGTGTGATAAAGATCGGTTTAAATGAACGTTATTCAGCTCCCGATTTGTCCATATTATTTGGCATCTTTGAGGTCCCACAATCATTACCTTGCTGAAAAGAAAACCCTTGTGCCATCAACATAGCCTTTACATAGATATCATCCAGTTACAACCTGCTTAAATAATCCTAAAGTTCTAAAAGCAGGGATTCAGTACAAGTCTGTCATATAATTATGCCAAAACTTAAACCAATCATTCTGGACAAGCATATTAATGTAAGCGAACACCAGCTGGTTCAACAAATTACCATTTCAATGGTTTTAAACGCACTGGAACGGACAGAGAGTATTCATTATTAAAGCTGCGGCCATTTCAGTCAATAAGCGCTGGTCATCTTTAGGGCAAACATACTACATAGTTTTTCTTGAAGATGGCATAATATTATTACTACATAGTATAATTTCAATGCAACGTCGGAAGCTTTAATAAAAACTGTCACCTGTCTGCTTTTTTGTGCCTAGAAGAAATGAAGCGGAAATTTATTATAAAAGAGAGAAGGAAACCAACCACAAGTTGGTTTTCAGCTTATGATTGCAATTGATTCTCCAGTGTATTAGGTATTTTCCATAGAATTGTGCTGACAGTTAAAAAATCGCTGCTATTATTTTTTGCCAAATGGTGCAAAAGTTGTAGGAAATGAGGACTGAGACTTTGGCTCACTGCCGTAGCAACAATAAAGTGAATGCCAAATCAGTAACAAGTGTTTGTAATGAGATTGCACAAAGACTGCTTTAATGTAGTACTGTAAATTAAGTTTCTGTACGTTAGAACGTAAACATGATATGCAAAATGCGGAACAAAAGAATCGCTTAAGCACAGAAACGTTAAAATGTGAATAGCTTTCAAAGACTATTTCACGTCATTTCATCGGACACGTCCGATTCTTCAAAATATTTGTCCTGTTCATCTTTTTCGATCAAATCCAAGGCGTCATATCTTTCGTCGTTGTCCACTTCACTAAAAGCAATTCATAATTAAAACGTAATACATGAAACCGAAATTTACAAAAAGATGATTCCTTTAAGAGCATAAGAGTAATGAGCCAAAATCCTATCAGTTAGTTTACTCTGCTCTGTGGGATATTACTGCAGCAATATGGCAGCACATGGTGACTGAGTGAGGTGTAACTCCTTGTGTTCTGCGTACGACTAACCTTCAAAGATCCTGAAAATCGCCAACATTGAAAACTAACACCTCTGTTCCAGGCATTCATTATAACCGTATGTGAGCATAAAAATACAGGATATGGTGGAGAGAACAGGATGGGTTGGGATAAACTGAACTATGAGTGATGAACGAGAAATTACTGATGAAGATATTTATGAATTAGAACAAGTTGACGCTAAAATGAAAATAATCAGCGTACTTTTGCCAACTGATCTATAGATCCCAGCGATTATGCCCCGCTACTTGTTCATTCAGTCCCAGGGTAGCACTTAAGAAGATAATGGATACATCATATTTTACCACCTACACTCTAGAGTTCCCCAATTCTCGTCGTTAGGAGCAGGATATCCTATTCATCACAATGTTTAACATCTCAGTAGCTATAACCGTGAATTACCTTAAGCAAAAAACTTATCCAAGGTCTGCTTCATCCGCACAATGAGTAACAAGGTGCTGACTTGTGAACTGTGGTGGCAGCTTGGTGTAACGGTGTGGTCATACCTGAATGAGCGGGAAGTGGGGCAATTCTATCTTGTGTGATTGCGTCATAGGGTTGCGATTCATTTATATACCCCCCTCACAGTTGCTTATTCAATGAGAAGATCAGCAGAGGATGCAATCCTTGTTGCTGTTTTGCCGTTATAACCAACAACGGCAAGGTCATACATAGCAGTCTATAAATTGACAAAACTTAGCGGCAAACAGGTTTTTACCCTAAAGCAATTTTGGGTCC